TTTTTAATTTTTTTTTTTTTACCCTATGACTAGGAGTTTTAAAACATACAGAAATTGATCTACTTTAATGTAAAAAAAAAAAAAAAAAAAAAACACATTTCCCAGCCAGCTAATGTGCGAACACTAGATATAGTGGAGTACTTCAGTGGGTTATGTTTAAAATACTACCTCACCTCCCACAGTTCGCGTCTGCAATTCAGATTTTTCAATCAAGTTTAAATCAATTAATTTATTTGTAAAGCATAATTCAGCAACAAGACAGTTCAAAGCGATTTACATCATAAAAAGACACTCGCACACACATATAAAAAATACAAAGTTACAGAACACACAATTACACATCAAAATGTTGATTAAATTCTATAGATCAATGCGCGGGTTCATTAAAACAATATGCGGTAGAGGCGGGGTTTTCCATAACCGCGCTTGTCCAATTATACAATTATGTTGAGTTCAGAAAAAAGAAAGACAATTATATAAGATGCTTTCTTATTGGTTATCCCTGCCACAAACTTAAGCATTATTTCCGAGCAGGTGAGAAGCACCAATAGGACAGCTCTCGCGGCTTCCCGTTTCCGGATACTTAAGAAAAGCCCGCGCGCTCCTTAGTCAGCTGCACACCTAATATTCTTTCAAGATGGCAGAGAACCCACCGGAGCATGGAGTTGATTTGGACCAGAGCCAGTTCTGTTGTTCGGTGTGTTTGGACCTGTTCAGGGAGCCTGTCACCGTCCCCTGCGGACACAGCTACTGCAGGCGCTGCATTGAAACCTGCTGGCAGCGCGACGAGGAGGCGGAGGGCCGATACAGCTGCCCGCAGTGCAGAGAGGTCTTCCAGCCTCGACCTGTATTGAGGAAAAACATCACTCTAGCTGAGGTGACACACTTGCACATAAGCTGTTGTTTTCTCTGAGACAAAGCCGTTTGAAATTGAGTCTCTAAAGTTAAGTTTAGCGACTCAATTTGGATAAATTTATCCAGAACTCGAGGACGTAATTCTGTGTCCACGTGAGCAAAAACCTGAAATGCGGTGTAATTGACCAAGCGTGTATTGAGGGACATCATTATTTCATCTCCTGCTGACTTTATAAATTTACCTCAGATGTATTAACTTTTTACTTTTAAAGTAAAATTCTGAAACTAGTTGTATATAAGTCCATCTACTTGGAATAAGTCTAACCAACAAAATTAAGCTGTTTAGTTTACTGGAGCAAGTAAAGTCTGGCAGCCTACCAAGCTTGTAATGCTCTGGGAGAAACCCTGAAATATCACAACTCTATGGGGAAGTGTCAATTCTTTGCAATTGCAAAATGCATAAAAAATGTATATGCTGCTAGTTAAAATGCTAGTTATGTCTGTTGGAAAATATAAGTGACTGTAAAAGCATTTGCCATTTGATTACTTAAGTCATTTGCATTTATTTATTTTTTTGTCCCTTCTCTTAACCAACAATCTGACTCAGGTTGTGGGGAAGCTGAAGGTGATGGGCACCATGGAAACCCCTCTCTTTGTTGAGTTTACCTGTGCTGGCCCAGATGACGTTGCCTGCGATTTCTGCTGCGAGTCCAGAAGACACAAGGCCTCCATGTCCTGTCTGACGTGCCTGGCGTCGTACTGCAGTTTTCACCTGGCGTCTCACTACACAGTTCCTGCGCTGGAGACGCACCAGCTGGTGTCCGTCACAGTCCCGCTGAAGGAGAAGATGTGCAAGAAGCACAAGAAGCTGCTGGAGGTGTACTGTCAGTCTGACAAGCGCTGTATCTGCTACCTGTGCATAATAGATGAACACCGGGGACACTTCACTGTTCCAGCCTCAGCAGAACGAGCCACAGAGCAGGTAGGAACAGAAACTCTGCAGGGAGGTGCAAAGAAGTTAAAAATCTTAACGTAGGTCAAAGGTTTTTGTCCCAAAGTTTATTTTTTTTTTTTTTTTTTTTTTTTTATAGATTCTGCTGAATATGCATCAAATCGGTGTCCAGAGGAGTCTGCAGAATAGAGAGAACGAGCTGAGGGAGTTGGGCAAAGCTCTGGAGGATTTCAAGGTGGGGGAGGAAAATCAAGACAATTTAAGTTTTATGTAGTAATCGTAGTGACTTGCAGTTATTTTTTTTTATTTTTTTGAGAACTGCTTCCACTTGAAATGTGACAAATGGTGCAATAACTTGTGATCTCTATGGGGAAAAAAATTATGTTTAAAGAGATTCTTTCTGTTCCCATATGATCTCCAGCAGTGGCATTCTCATTTAATGTTTAATAAGAAAATGCAGGTTTGTTTCTAACTTTTTGGGGTCTTATGTGAGATTTTATTGGGGTCCCCTTTTTGTGCTGCTATAATGTTCGGGAGTTTTGACAGTGTCATTGCCACTGCTTTAAAAAAAGAAGAAAACACACTTGATTAAAACTAAGTCAAAACGACTACAAAAATCAACTAAATATGCCGCTCTTGGTGGTTGCCATGTCGCCCATATCAGAAATGTTAAATCTGTTTTCATAATGGAAGAAATATATTAGCACTACTGCAGTCAAACCCTTATGAACTACTAACACTTGGTTCTACTTTTTTGACAGGTTTTTTTTTTTCTTAATATTGGGTGAGGAGCTCAAAATCTGAGATCAGAAGTTTAATGTCCTACTCTGTCAACTCTGAAGTGTCTTCCTCAGAATTATAAAATTGTCAAAAGTGTGGTAAAACTTTATTTCTAAATTTGCCAGCAGTATAAATAATTTTGCACTCAACTATATGCATTTGATCTTTTTGTTTTCACCAATTTATCTTGTTGTGAAGGAGCAGAATGCATATGAGGGCATATTTTTAGGCTGTCCCTTTCCAACCCTTAATACAAAGAGCAGCATCGACAACTTTAGTTTCAACAGGTTTGTAGCCGGACTGCAGTGGACAACGTCGACAAGACCATCAACATGTTGATTTCCTCCATCCAAATGAGACGCATTTTGGCAAAGCAGATGATGGACATGAGAGAGAAACTGGCGATTGCTGAGGCTGAAAAGCTGCAACTCCAGCTACAGGAGGAGATCACCAAGCTGCGGAAACGAAACGGTGACCTTCAGAAGCTCTCTCTCTCCAGTGACCACATTCATTTCATTCAGGTACCTTGAGTTTAATGCGGCTGCCCAATGCAAAGTAGCATACAAGTTTGAACTTTTCATCTTATAGCAATCTGCATGGAACACATTTATAATCAGATTTTATATTCATTTCTCAGTAATTGATTATTAGTAGGGTTCAGTTTTGCATTTCCATGACGGCCACAGTTCACACTGTTGACTGCAGAGGCTTTAGTAAATTCAGAAATTGTGAAATTGCTCCTGGGTAACATCTGATGTCCTGATTGAGTATATTTTGAATTGATCATCTGATGTCCTTCCTCCAGACTTTCCCAGCTCTCTCCACTTCCTGTGAATCTCCAGACCTGCCACCCGGTGCTGTTGTTCGCCCTCGTGAGTCAATGGCAGCTGCATCTCGTTTTTTAGATGACCTGAAAGATAAAGTGGATGGTATTCTGGAGGACTCCTGGTCCAACTTTTCTGCCACAGGTACATCACTGTTGCATAAGAATCTTGATTTATATCTAGACTGTTTTCCTTAGGACTGTGTGGGATTGAGGATTTTCTTTCTGTTGGCAGTGTCTGCTGTCAATGTTGTGCTGCCACCTGTGCCAAAAACCAGAGAGCAGTTTTTACTCTGTAAGTAAAGTGTTTAGCCCTCATCGGATGGCAGGCATTTCATTTAAAGTCTTACTAGAAAGCAGGAGTATTGATCATGTTTGGATTTTTGCAGATGGCTGTGTCCTCACCCTTGACATCCAAACAGCCCACAAGTGTTTGTCCATCTCCAAAGAGCAACAGCGAGACGTTAGTGTGTCCCGCTACGCCCCCTACTATGTTAGTCGCTCAGACATGTTTGAGAGTGTGAAGCAGGTTCTGTGCTGCGAGGCTCTGTCAGAGCGCTGCTACTGGGAGGTCACCTGGGAAGGTTCCTTTTGCGCAGTAGCCGTGGCGTACAAAGACATCGCAAGATCATCGTCTGATTCCGAGTTTGGATGCAATGACAAATCGTGGAGCTTGGAGTGCTCCAAGGATTCCTATGTTTTCCGACACCGTTCTCAGAAGAAAGTTTTGTCAGGCCCTCTGACCTCCTGGATCGGTGTGTACCTGGATTACAGGTCAGGTACTCTGGCTTTTTACAGCATCTCTAAAGAGATGATGCTGCTCCACAGAGAACAGACCATGTTCTGTAAACCCCTTTATCCTGGCCTTGGGCTGAAGGATGATGTTCAAGCAAAACTGGTGAAGTTATGGTGAGGAAGTTTTCATGCTGATGCATAGCTGAGCAGCTTTTTTCTTTTTTTTTCTTTTTTTTTTTAACATGCAAACCAACTAAAATGCAATGTTTGAATAAAGTTCAAGTAATTAAACCAACTACCTCCCTGTTTTTTTTTTTTTTTTTTACTTGAAATTTGCTAGAAAATCCGAATAAATCATGACACCTGACAATTTTACCATCTTTACTTTGAACTACTTGAGCAGTGTTATTTCAATAACATTAGGTGTTTTTTTTTTTTCTCAAGCAATTATCAATATGAACACCTTCCCATGATGTCAGGTTGTGGCTGGGTCTTTCAGGATGGCTTCAGATTCAACTTGGATGCTAAATTCTTCAGCTATGTTAAAATATAGTTTTGTTTTTCCTATACAATAAAACTTAACATTTTTGCTGCATACTGGAAACTCGCAAATGAAATTGTCCCTCTTAACTCATGTCACACCCTGATCTTTAGTGATTTCCTGCAAAGGTTTCCTGTGACACTAAATGGTCAATCTGGGCCAGCAGGCTACACAATTGTGTGGAAGAGTCACATGGTGGGTAGGCCATAAAAGGTGATTGCTGAAGATGCATGTTTTTCTGAGTACTGTATCCAAGCGGATTTATAGAAAGTTGAGTGCAAGTCCAAAGTGTGACAGGGAAATAAGGAAAAGGGATAACTGAAAGATTGGATGGAAAAATGTGGCCTGAGGCTGGAGTTAGTAGTGTTTCCATTGACCATACAGCTGTGCAATTTGAGATTTCAAAAATGAGATTAATGAAAAGCGGCAACTTTGGAAAAAAAAATTAGTTTGATACAAAGAAAACTCACCTCGTCCCTGCGACAAAATGCTTCAAAGTTGGTTCAACCTCACAAAACTGCAATGGAAATCATGATCAATTATTGGATGTTACTGGCGCAAACCATGAAGATGACAGGGAGTAGTTGGAGGATAGTAGCTTTGCATGTTTAACTTGTTGCAAGACTCAACTTATGCACATGATTTTGTTTACTTACTGGAAACCCTGCAATTGCAAAATTTTGACATCAGTGGAATATTGACAAAGTTTTGCATACATGTATACAAAACCCATCTAGTACATCAAAAACTACAATATACTGACGAATCCTACACATGGAAAACGAGCGTATTAGCTGGACTGAGGAAAAGAACTGAATCGTTCGGTGGTCCAAAGACCTTAGCTCAAAGGAAACCATAGTTATTTCATTTGGAATTCAATTTCAGAGTCTGGAGGAAGAGCAGAGAGGTATGGAATCCACATTGCTTGAAACCCAAAGTGAACTGTTCACTTGGCAATGACTTTGGGTACCATGTCATCTCTTAGTACTGGTCACCTGTGTTTTCTGAAGTCCAGTTAATGCAGGAAAGGCTTTATGGAGATACTGGTTTCATTTTCCAACAGGACACTGCTAAAAGATGTGAAATGCTGGCTCAATGACCAATTTGTTACTGTGCTCTAAAGGGCAGCAAACTGGCCTGACCTGATTGTCGAGAGGAAGGTGAGTCACTAGACTCACTTTTAGACTCACCTTCAGACTCGCCTTCCTCAACCTTTATGTTCATAGCAACCAGAAGGTTGCTATGAAAACAACCTGGCTTGTTTTCAGTTTGCAGCTGCCATGACATGTCACACAACTGCAATAATTCATTTGAAAGGAGTCTGAACCAAGAATAGAGTGCATAGAAATGAAACATCCTTTTTTATTGATTTTATGTAGCACTTACATTTTCTGAGAAACTGAATTATGGGTTTTCACTACAATTATTGTTTAAATTACATTACAAAGAGGCTTGGAATATTTCACATTTTCACCCACAAATAATGTAAGACGTTCATCAGGACACCCAACTCTGAGCAAACAAGCATTTTTACAGAAATCTGTTAAAAAGTGGTACAATCACACCATAATTTACATCGACAGCCAATGTGTTGCTTTTGTTTTCAAGAACTGTTTTGCATCTATTACAACATATTTCTAAAATACACATTTCATTGTCTTTTTTTTTTTAGTATGTGGGTTCATTTTAGAAGAGGACCTGAAGAATTCAGACTTCTCCATCCATAACCTCACATGGGGTCTTAACTCCAACTTTTAGGAACAACTCTTTTTAACTTCCACTTGCATCCAGCGCTTTTACTGAACCATTAAGATAACAATACAATATATTATGAAAATGCTATGGGGGAAATAACCTAATATTATCTGACTTTTGGATTAAGGCTTAGAAGAAAAAAAAAAGTGGATTGACGTGACAGATGTGACGCCTCCCTGCCTCAGTTGTCTTCATTGTTGACACTAGGGGGCGCAGCTCCGAAGTATATTGAAAACGCCTCGTCTCAAAGAAGTGCGTACTGTTATGTCTGACGTTCGGGCGTGAAGAGAGAACTATGGGGGACAAGTACAAATACCCCGTTTATTTCCAGTGCCAGAAGCTTCTTGAGGAAAAGAATATAAAGAAAATTGAGAGCCACTTCCGTATTCACAGACGGTCCGGCGGAGGAGACTGCGGTCCATTAACGAGAGAGGCTGATAATGTCTACAGCATAGCGTTCAAATATCAGAAAGGTACAGAAACATAAGACTTTCTTTTGCTGTTTGTTTGTGTCGTGACTTAGACACTTTGCTTTAAGAAGCCTGAGTGACCTACATATTTAAAATGTCCTTCAAAACACGCACGACCATAAAAGTATTGAAACTATTGCTATTATTGTCAATATTATTATTATTGTTGTTATTTTTTTTATTATTAATGCTGTTATTAATCATGACGATGTTATAGCCGATAGCCTGTATGCACATCAATATTGACAAATGGAAACGGGAAACTTCTCTGGAAAGTGAAACTTAACTCAGGCTGCCAAACGCCATGAAGAGCAGCTGAAAAACTGACAGAGTGGCAAAGAGCAATGGAGTGTAAAAGATAATCAAAAACGCAGTTATGCTGTTATGAAGCTTAGTAAAATCAGTTGTTGGTCTTTAAAGCCACTGCATAACCTGACCTGGCTTAAAACTAGAGATTGGAGCCGAAATAAAGCCAGGAGTTAATCTCAAACTGGGGTAAATATTAAAATATACCATCTGAATCGTATGCAAATGCATGCTATTCAGTTCACTTTTGAAAATGTTCAGTGCAGCTACTAAATAAAAGGTAGAAATTAAACAATAGTCAGCATAATTTGGCTTAGGTCAACACTAAAGCGGGCTTTGCATAACACAGCGATGGTTTAAAAATAAATGTATATGGATTCCAATGTCCTAAGATGCTTTGCAGTTTGAAATATTGTACAACATTTATTCCTAGTTCAGTTAGTCCAACATCTAAGCTTTTTAATAACTACGAGAAGATAAAGTCATATCAATTAGTGTGTTGTCAAGTGGTGTACTGTAATTAAGCTGGGGAATCACTGTCATATAATTCAAACACAGAAGTTATCTCTGTTTCGCTTTCCAAACATCAGCCTCAAAGGGATAGTTCAGGAATTTTTATAGGTGGAGCTCTGGGTAAAGGTAGCAGGCTGTAAAATCTGCCACACAGATGTTAACAGCTCCTTGTTTGCATAAATAAAGATGAGTTGTTGCTAGAGGTAGAGTCTGGTTACAATCTTAGTCTCCAGATTTTCACATGAAACTCAGCACTGGTGCCCTGTTCTCATTGGATGGTTATTTCCATAAAACTCTTGATTATTTGAACAGATGTTTGAGCTGGTCCAAGAGTGACAAAAAAAGCCAAATACATATATATATATATATATATATATATATATATATATATATATATATATATATATATATATATATATATATATAGTATTATGTGTAGATGCATATATATTCATATGTTAACCTCTGTTATGCATTGTGCTGTAGATCAACAGGAAGTGTTGAAGAAATCTAAGCATGTCGTTGAGCTCACTGATGGCCTTCTGGTGTTCAGTGTCAGGGACAACCTGTCACCTCCCAGCTCCTTACATGACACCACCCCTGCAGCGGCAGCAGAGGTCAGCACAACATTTCCTTCTGGGTTTCTAATTCGACAAAACAAACAGGAAAGGGGGCCTGCAGGGATGTTTTATAATCTGCTAAATGTCTGATCCACATCTCAATTCTTCTTGTTTTTCTTTCAGAAAGTGTTGAAAAATAACAGCGATTTCGAAAGATACAGACTGTCTATATGCTATATGAGCACTTTTCTTTGCTCATATAGCATAGTATTTTGCTTTAGTAAAGTGAAACCTAAGCTGAAGGCAAGACAGGCTTATTTCTTTAGTGCCGATCATGAAGAAGTTCCTTCTGCAAAAAGAATAAAAAGTAGGCAAAATCTGATTTAAATTCAAAACAAATGCCAAGCTAATATGTGATCATGACAACCTGAAAAAGGTGATCTAAAAAAGTGATCTTTGACATTTACTGTAGAAGAATCCTAAACTAATAAACATCTGTTTATTTCTGGTCTCACTGATTGCTGTCTACACAGGTCTGCCTAAAAACACAAATCAAACACCTGCTGCTGATCCAAAATGCTGCTGCTCACATTCTCACTAAAACCAGGAAAGACGGGGTACATCACCCCAGTTCTGAAATCATTAGATCAGAAAATAGACTTTTAAACACTGTTGATTTGTAAATCACTGAACGGCTTAGCACCACAATACACTAAAGAGCTGCTGTTGCCCTATCAACCTTTGTTAGGTTGTTTGGTTCTGGTTCTGCTCTGCATCCCCAGAACCAGAACCAAACATGTAGAAGCAGCATTCAGCTTCTATGCACCACAAATCAGGAACAAACTTCCAGAAAAATGCAAAAAAGCTGAAACACTGAGTTCCTTTAAATCAAGACTAAACCCTACATGTTTAGAGTTGCTTGTGAACCATAATAGATGGAAAATTGACCAACATATTTGATGTGTATCGATGATTTGACAAAATGATGTTTTTGTGTTGTCATGATGTAAAGCACTTTGAAATGCCTTTTTGCTGAAATGCACTATACAAATACACTTGATTGATTGATTGATTGTTAATAATTACCAACCTGTTGAGTAATGCTGTAAAAGCCTGTATTAGTGGTTTGCTGTATTTTTACTGTCATCTGCAGAATGTCACTAGAAAAGTGATCAGTAAAGCAGAAGGTAAAAGGAAGCTGTTAACAAAGAAAATACTTCTCGGATACATAGAATATTATACCTCTGTTTTAGTTTTAAATATTTTCTCTCTCTCATTGAAAGCAAATTTAATACCAGCTAAGATTTTAACATGTTACCTTTATATATGTTTGTAAAATCTGTTACTGTTGTGCTTTTACCAGAACCAGCAGTCCAGTCCTGAGCTAACTGCCCCACTGAGTGGTAAAGAAGTTGAAGAACAACCAGAAGAACACAAACTTCCTGCGCTGTCTGATTCCCCTGATACTGAGGAACTGCTCACCTCTGGTTTTTACTCGGCTGAGCATTACCAAAAGGAGGAAGAGACGTTAGTGAGAAGATTATCTCAAACTGACACTGTGGGTGAAGGAGAGGAAGACCAACAGTGTCGTGGTTCTCCAGACCCCTCTCATAAAGATCAGCACGATGTTGCAGCACAGCACTACAAAGATGAAGTCAGCAGAGCGAGGACAGCAGTTGTGGCAGGTAGTCTGGTGAAAACAGACATGTTAGATGTAGAGGATAAGCCATGTTTAGGTGAGAGTTTGGGAGCAGTAGCCACTTACAACCTTACTGATGATGTTCAGCTGATGGTGTATCAGGGAGACATCACCACGTTTGGGGCTGATGCCCTGGTGAACTCTTCCAATGAGGATCTGAATCATTGCGAAGGCATCGCTGCTGCCCTGAGTCAGGCTGGGGGTCCTGACGTGCAGCTTGAGATCGACTCTTTAAGGAAACGTAAAGGACAAATCCCTATTGGTGAAGTTGTAGTGACCATTGGGGGTAATTTACCTTGCAAAAGACTGCTGCATGCTGTTGGGCCTGTGGCTGGAAAAGCAGCTGGTAAGGAGAGGGTGTTACTGGAAAGAACTGTTCGGCGGGCTCTGAATTTGGCAGAATTGATGAAATTTAAGTCAATCGCCATGCCGTGTATCGGCTCAGGAGTGTTTGGCATTCCTGTCATAGTTTGTTCTGATGCCATTGTGTGTGCTGTTAAGGAATTCTGTAGTCAGGGTGGAAAGAGTCTTAAGACAATTTCACTGATAGATGACAGAGGAGAGGTGGTCAGGGCCATGCAAGAAGCATGTGACAGGCATCTTCTGGGGCAAAGTGCTGCCTACCCTGCAGAACACAAAGATCCACTTGGAAGGGAGTTTGATTCTGCTGGACAAAATGTAGCCAGAGGAGCCACAGCTGGAGCTCCCAAAGGTCTCGTCCAGGTTGAGATTGTTCAGGGGACCATTGAAAGCCAGCAGGTGAGAATTCCTTAATTTTAAGTTTATCTTTTTATTATTATGGATTGATTATTGCAGTGTTATAACACTGTTAATATGCCGCTATTTTACCTGTCAACATAAGCAAGTTCATAACCTTTGGTTTTGATCTGTTTTTAGACAGATGCAGTGGTGTCTCCAATGGTCTTCAACGATCCTCTGTCTACTCGTGTTGGAAACATTCTCAGTAAAGCAATTGGTCGTCGTGTGACTAAAACGATTATAGGGAAGTCAGAAGGTGAAATGGGGCCTGGTGACTTCATTCTAGAGGAAAATCTGACTGGAGTTCCTTTTGGTGCCGTGTTCTTCCTCAGCCTTGTTCGGTGGGATGCAGAAGACAATGGAACCGCGGTTCAGGTGAGACAACTGAGCATATATACTACAATTAGTCTGTCCGGATGAGTTCAAAACAATGTTCAGCTTGTTTCTAATACTAATTTTTGCAGGTTCTCCGACTGGGCATCAACCAAATTCTGACTTCCTGTGAAAGCAAAGGGTTTGGATCTGTAGCAATACCTGCACTTGGGGCTGGCATTGCTCTGGGTTTCCCAATCACTGTAGTAGCCAGGGTTTTACTGGAGGAGATCTCTAAATTTGAGCAGGAGAGAACCACCAGCGCACCAGTTCAAGTTCTCCTTGTTCTACCAGATCAAGAGGGTTGGGAGGTAAAGTATAATAAATGTATTTTTTTCCTTGAGTGATTTACAACAAAAGGTTTTTTTTTAACTGTTAAAAGTGGACATAACAAGCTATATAGAGTAATATTTTTAGCAATTTTATGTTTCTTGACAGCCACATTCTTTGAGTCCTAACCACAGTGGAACCCCATCTATCCGCAGTTCAGTATTTGTGGATTCACCTGTTCACAGATTTTATTTTGTGGAACATAACTCCAAATTATTCGTGGAAATTATGCCTGTTTGTATAATTTTTTGGTTTATTCGCACAGCATATCTGAAATAATGCTCACCTTCCTGTCCAACATCAGTGTCTGATCTAACAAATACATTGGTGTATAAATAATAATAAAAAAATTCCCATAAATGCACATTGTACACAGCCTTGAAAGAACAAAAGTGTTTTTCTAAAAAAAAGTGGGGCAACAGTATTTGCAACCTTTGTAATAAAAATAGGATGTCATTTGGGTGTGTGTAAATGCAACTGACCTCATTAGTTTCGACAATGTTTTATATATCTGTATTGAAGTGGTGAATCCTTGGACTTGTATTAAACTTGAATATATTACCTCTACAGGTTTTCAAATCTGTCCAAGAAGATATAAAGTTCAACAGATGTACTGAAAACGATCTGGAGAGCGGTCGAGATCAGGGTCAGTATTGACCATAGGGAACCTGTAAGATTGAAATGAAATTATGCTATTGTGTTCTTCCTTCTGTAAAAATATGCTAAGATAATTTATTAGAAACCAACGGAAAACTTAACAGCACTAAAATGTCCAAAATTTAATTCTGCATTAATTTCTTCAATCTGAATCTTTACAGACTCCAGTCCAACAAGGATCGTTCTGCTGGGCAAAACTGGAGCTGGGAAAAGTCACCTAGCTAACACCATCCTGGGGGAGGACGTTTTTGCGTCATATCATTCTCCTAACTCTGGAACTAATAAATGTCAGTCAGAGACCAGAACAGTTAATGGCCGGCGCCTCACTTTGATCGACACACCTGGTTTCTTCGACACCGACAGGTCGGAAGAGGAGCTGAAGCCGGAGATAATGCGTTGCCTCACGGAGTGCGCACCTGGACCGCACGTCTTCCTCATTTTACTTAGAGTTGACAGATTCACAAAGCATGAGCAACAGGTTATCACAAAAATATGCGATCATTTCTCAGAGGATGCTCTGAAATACGCTGTAATCGTGTTCACTCACGGCGAGCAGCTCCAAGAAGGGATGAAAATCGAAGAGTTTGTCAATGAGAATAAGAATCTGAGTAATCTGGTGAAGAAGTGCGGAGGTCGGTGTCATGTTTTTGATAATAAACACTGGAACAGAGAAGGGCAAGATGAAGATGATTACAGGAACAACCAGGTCCAGTTGGAGGTGTTCCTTCAGACAGTAGACAAGATGATGGTGGAAAAAAACGGATCCTACTACACCAATGCGGTTCTGCAGCACGTAGAAGAAAGGATCCAGAAGGAAGAAAAGCAGATTAGAGAGGTGGAAGTGGATTTACCCCCACAGGAGATCAGGGAGCGGGCTAAAACTTTCGTGTCTAATGAATTTCTGACCCAGTTAGCGGGTACTGCCACCGGTGCTTTGTTGGGGGCATTTTTTGGAGTGGCAGCGCTATTGGAAGTTGTAATGAAAGTTGTGAAAAATCCCACCGAAGTGATGAAGCGCGTGAAAACCTTAACAGCGATGGCACCTGTAGCGACTGTAGCGGGAAGTGAGGTGGCAGTCGTGGCTGCCGGAGTGGTGGCAGGCGTCGCCACAGTAACCGCAGCTGCCGCAGGAGGAGTACGAGGTGGTGTTATGGGTCAGGAAGCATCTAAGGAAGCGAAAAGTCCGATGGAGGCAATTGAGAAGAGTATTGATGCTATTATGAAGGAAAGAAGTAGATTTAGGATGCTTCCACCAAATTAAGGGTGCATTCACACCAGCTCTTGTTTAGTCCACTTTAATCCGACTGTAGTTTATTTGTCTAGAAAGTCTGGTAAGTTTGGGGAGGTGTAAATCCACAATTGAACTCTGAGGACCAAAAAATAAAACTTCTGGTCCACCTAAAAACCTAGGTCTTGGTTTGGTTAAAGTGAACTCTGGCGCGGTTTGAATTTGACGTGAGATCACTCCAAAAGCAGGAAGCAAATTATAGCGCAGGGCATTCTGGGTCAATAGACCAAAAACAAATGGGCAATTACAAGGAGAAATGGCTCATGGTCTTCTGTCAGAGACGAGAGAGAAATCCTACAACCACTAAAATCTGATGCCGCTCCATTTTGGTTCACTTTTTGTGAAGAATGTAGGTGCACTGGTTTTCTTCCAAGGTTTTTGTGCCGTTTCCTTCAGTGACTCTTGGTGTATCACCACCACAGGAAGGGGTGGGGGGAAACAGGTTCTTCAAAGCGTTTGGATCATTTGACACAGAGCAATGTGAAAGCAAACTGTACCAGCTGAAAATGTAACATGGTGCAATCGAACCGAGTCTATCGGATTATCAGGTGTGAAAACAACCCAACATTTGGCATGGGCAATCGTAAAGCTTTAAGTTTTGAGGAATGTTTTTATTCTTTGCACATGTCTTAAATATTCAGTTTTTTTGTGCCATCACTTGCCCTGGTGGGGCATTTTGAGTGGATTCTAACCGTGGAAATTACAGCATCAATGTGTAGCTGGCAGATCTGCAGAAATGATCATGTTAGACACAGAACAGCAAAGGAATGTTTCATATGAGCTGCATAGCATCTCGTGGAACCAGTGCTGATTCTAGATAACACTATATTTTTAGAACAAACTCTACACAAAGACTTGATTTGTTTGTGCTGCTGCGCATAGGAATTGTTACTCTTAACCTGTATTGGTAAGCTTTGGCCACTAGGGGTATCCTCAGTTTTTTTTTTTTTACTTTTTTTCCTACTTTTTATTTTAAATTCCTGCTTTTGTTGAGGTACTTTACAAATCCTACAGCCGCTTTTTCTAAATACTCTACATTCTAATTATTGATGCACTTTCGGTGATAGTATTACTCGTCTTAATGGGACATTATTTTGAAGACGGACAGGGTTTATTGTCACTGTTACCTTGTTTGAAGATTCATAGGCATGTTATGTAATTTCTTTGTTAAAAATGACACTTGGTGTGAGTCCTCTTGCCTAATTTATTAAGCAGTTCAAGCTGCTATTGCTTTTTATTTGCAATGAGATTATGACATTGAAAGCACATTTGTATCTCAACCTAAACTTTATGGTACAACTTTATTTGAAAAATGTGAACAAACAACTTGAGTAAGCACTAAATTTATGTATTTTAAGAGATGTAATGCTTTTATCACCAGTAGTAATAAAAGCATTACATGATATAAGAACAATACATGTAATAATCACTCTCTGTTTTGCGTATTATATTTTGTTGTGTAAAATGATCTTAATTTTACATAATATAAAATTTGCACATTTATTCCATGTTTGTTGACTTTGGCAAAATGACATACAGTACATACCTTTTCATATATTTGAATAAAGTTTCTAAAAAATAAAAGCACACCATGCGTCTGCTTTACTGTTTAACTACAATTAATCTTGAAGGTTCTTTGTGGCTGATAATGTTTTTTAAGCTTGTTTAAGAAGTGTGGTGGTATTTTTCTGAAAAGGGGTGTTTAATATTTATTTTACTTAAACTGAACGTGAGCAGGCTTTCTAATACTTCAGTGTAATCGGTGGAAATAAATATCACGACAGCTGCATATTGTCGCCTTCCTAAAATAATGACCCAAGTCATTTTTTGCCAAAAGGGGCTTTAAGGGTGGGGGAACAAACAAACAAAAAAACGTGCGTATAACTCATATTACCCTAATCAGGTGTATAACAGCTAACTCTAATCACCTGTAGCTTTCCATTGTTAGTTTCAAGTTCAAGTCCGAGAAACATTTTTTTATAGTTTTCTTTACTGATTAGACCATTTCGAAAACATTCTCCAAATATTTAAAAAATGATGGAAATGACACATTAATCTTTCTTAATCCTCCCGGGAGCTTTGGATCAAAGGTTGATAATACAATTATTCACGGTGTCACCTTCGACCTATTCTGGACATTTCAAAAATGATAAGTGCAATAACAAAGCTTATTAAAAGTTTTGTACTCTTCTGTAACAAAATAACTATTTCAAGATCGTCTCTGAACACTTTCCAAAACCTGTCAAATGATGAGAAAAGCAGCCCAGATTTTAACAACCCGCCCAAAGCTGTTTTTTTTTTTTTTTTTTTTTTTTCCTTTTAAACGTGTTCAAACACAATTTTAATGTACTGCTATGCTATGTCCACCCATTGGGCGGAAACCCGCCCATGTTGGCAACACTGATTTTTCTTCGGTCCTGCGGAGGAGGCTGCGGTTCATTCAGGGACAAAAGTGGCTGTTGACCTTTCCAGCACAGCATTCAAACATCAGAAAGGTACAGTAAGATGCGGCTTTATTTTGCTTTTTCTTATTTGTGTTGCGACAGACACCTTGTGTAAGAAGCTTGAGTGACGTAAGTGAACTTACAGTTTTGTTTTAAAACATGCACGACTATATAAAAAAGAAAAGTACCAGAAGAAACCATTTTTGTGCATACTGCTGTTATTATTATTGGCGTGCGGTCTGTGTGTGTAAGTTGACAAATGGAAACGGGAAATTTCTCTGGAAAGTGAAACTTAACTC